ATGTGACCACTCGCATCTGTTTGCTTTATATTTTTTCGTTTCGGAAGTTTATATATAGGACACCTTCTAATTCACTTTTCGACACAATAATAAAATATAATCATTATTGACACCTCTGCAGTGCGTGTTCCTAGCTGCAATTAGGCTTCACTCTGAATTTACTGTCTGCTGTTCTATAGAACTTGTCACGTGGAACGTTGTTGAACTTTGCCCTTATTCCGTTCCGTTTTTTTCTATTACTCACAGTGATCCATGTTTATGCTACCTTTATGCTGACTCGATGATTAGTGGAAACGCAAGGTCAAAAAATGAAAGTCTAGAATAATAGAGCTTTGTTCTACAGTGACAAGCGGAGGCCTAGCTGTATATTAGGCTAATTATCTTTGCTCTTCAAGACAAGTCTGGCACCAATTTCGAAGTCCAGGAGGATCACACACTTGGATAAGTGGGACCAAGGACGTGCGAAGTGTGTAGCACCCTTATTCAATGCGCCACGTACATCGAATAAGAAATTATTGCAGTAATTTCACGTAGGTGTCAGTTTCGAACATCGCGCACATTGCTCAGTCCTGACGTGTAGCGGCACATTGGAGAATAGCAATCGTGCTACCGATAATGGCGAAACAATACCCGATCGCCATTCGAACGTAGACGAGAGGAAAGTCGTTTCAGAACCATAAAATCGGTGTAGATATCCTCCATTCGCGCTTCCGAAACTCATTTCGTGTCTCGATTCGACTGCCATTTGAGGATTTTGTCTTTTTTGATGGATGTCGTAGAATCGTCAATTCTCCCTGCAGTCGTAGAGATAACCGTGCTGGACCATTTGCCAAGTGGATTGGGGGAAAGCGTTGGGGGATTGGTTGAGCATGAACCTTCTTTCCAGATGGGCTGCAACACTAGCCACTGCGCTGCCTCATTCCCGCGTTTCTTTTATTACTTTAATTTAGTTGCATTGGAGTCAGCAAGATGATACCGCCGAATTCCTTAATCATACGTTCGCGAAGCTTTGATATCGTTTCTGGTTTGTGAGGTCAACCTACGACATAATTATTATCATTTTCCATCGTTTTCCCAAGCAGATGCTTTTTGAAGCGGGCTGTGAATTCGCCTGGCATAGAAGCGAATTTCTTTGTAGATACCGTTTTCAACACGAGAATGAGGCTTTTTCGCTGAAAGTTTTCTTATGTTCGAAAAGAGTGGTAGTCGTCTGGAAGTGCTGCATTTAGAAATTACGCGAGCGCCGATTACCAGTGACCGTTATAGAGTATGAAGGAACCTCGTTTCGCATTTCTTCGTTTAGTAGGGTAGTGGCTTTTGTACCTGAGCAGAAAAGACAGTGAATCTTGCTGTGGTATTCGTTGGTATTCGCCATGAAACGTTCCTTGAGAGTGATCATCGAGAGGCACCACTCAATGCAGATTAACTTTCACAACAGAATCTGGTGTTTTGTATGTGGTAACTTCCCCTGTTCACGTATGCTATTCACATACACAACCTCGATGTGTAGACATGCGGATAAAGTGGATTATTCCAGATATTGAAGATCCACTTATTCGCGCCACTTCGAAGGCGCGGTATATAGTTCGATTTTAGGCGAGTTTGCCTACATCGTGATACATAGTTGCCAGCCCATTGCAACGAATTGTCACTGTCCAATCGTGTGGTAGCATTCAGCTACCATTTAACTAAACTCCACATTGCTTAGTCACTGAAGGCCTGTTCATGTACTGATTAATGTTCATCCTCGCACTACGATTTTTCTGAGTTGAAGCATCTGGTCATTGTAGATGCGGTGGATAAGCCTGGCATCGCTTTGGTCAGAAAACTGATAGCAGACCTGCCTTGGCCGAACTGACTTCCTCGAATCCACATGGAAGTGTCCTAGTCTTCCATTCACGAATTATCAACTTCTACTGCGCCACCAAGTAGACTATAGCCATGGAAATGGCTAGGTCTACGGAAATGAAGTGGTATATCGTAGTGAAAAGCTGCTTGGCAAAGACAGGATGGACAAGATCACCCACGCAGCCAGGATATTCGCTGCAACAGTTTGTGCGTTGAGAAAAATAATGGCTAGAAAATATACGGAGAGTATTTCGCTAGTCTTATGCTAAGCTAAAGGTTTAACTCAATATTAGGAGAGCAGACAATGTATTCCACTGTATCGGACGCTTCTGTTACTAACTCTTCATGTAGAAATGCAATAAAATGAGTAGACTGCGTAGAAAATTTGACGAAATCACTTCATTCTAAGGATTTCTATTAAATCATGTTAAAATTAAAACTAAAATTATTTTGAGGACTATTTTCTAGGAACTACAAGTTCCACGATTAGCCTGAGCAAGCATGTCTTCGAAAACTTCTGAAAAGAAGTTTGCTGGACAACTTCGTATTCACCTCTACTTCGGCTCACTTTGCTACTGTCCCATATTGTAGTACGTATTTTCGAGGACTCGCTGTGTCTAGAACGGTATGGATTACTGTCAACAGTGGTAAATCAGCACCGACGGCGTCGAACTTATCGCTCTACCCTTGTTTGACCGTTATTGTTATCGTAAACGCTTATCGTTGTTGACCTCACTGCCATCTCCCACTTTTTAGGTTTTCTCATGCAGGTATCTTCTCTAAGTGAAAAACTTTTTAGTGAACTATATCTATTATATGCTCCAAATTTATTCTGTATCCAGTCCTACTTTTTTTCTCTGAACACTCTTCCTCTCGTTAGCCTTTCGAAAAAGTCAATTTGCTTCAGCACGATTTTCTAGGAGGTTTGCTTGAAATACATTAAATGATAGACGCCCTCAAATGAATCCTAGCACAAATTCTAATCCATAGCAATCGTAAATGAATGGATTAGAGTTGCACGGAACTTCTACTGCGTCTTTTACAAATTTCACTAGCCACAAGGACAAGTGCTTTTACGTCACTAGAGGGTAAGCTTTTCGGTCAAAAATTCTTTATAGCTGTTCAAATGTAAATTCAAATGTAATCAAATGCAACATGTTTATTTATATGATCTTATAAACTGATCTTCATAAACTGGCCAGTCCCACACGTAACATCACGGCTATGAGGAAGGCGAAGTCACCGAAACGTCAGCCATCGACCAACTACATCAAAACAGCGACAACGACAACGAAGACCTGTATCAACCTTGCATCAGCTAAAGAAGATCAGTTTATAAGATCATACAAATAAATATATCAACTATCTATGCCGAGATATATAGAAAGTCGGTCTTTCGAGTTATTTTAAATCAGATTTGTTCCATTCAACAAAACTAGCACTTGCTGGTAGATCAGTGCCGTTCTCGTACGTTGCAATTCTTCGCATACTTTGTCGATTTCCTCAAAATGTTTCTATTCTGTAACGATTTTGCTCAATAATCAAGATTTTGCACTGAATGGTGTTTGAATGCCATCTCTATATTGGCAGTGTTTTGTGGATCTGCCTTCAAAAGCAACAGTCTCCCACTCTCGAAATAAACTCGTCCAAAAACATTTTTTGTAAATCATCAAGATTTTAGTGGATGGATAGCTCAGTGGAAGTAATACCGTTCATCACGGGCGTGTACTGGTTCGACACCGTACAGAACCTACCAAGCCTCTCATCCCTCCGGGGTAATGAGAATGGCACCGGAACTTCAAATCAACACGGGAACACTCTGACACAGCTATACCGGAATTCGAGGAGCAATCGACTCGATCTGCACTTAGCGACATTCATGAAGCAGACAAAAATTCGCAGTCATCAGCCGAACACACATGGAAAGTTGGAAGACCTTCGTGGATGAAAAGTGCGAGGAAGCGAATGAAATGAATGGATAAAGTGTTGGGATCCGCACAGTAGGTGTGAAAATGGGCCTTGTGAAGTAATAAAAATATTAAGCGTCCATAACGTCTTTCCAAGTTCAGTGCCCAAAACAGTAATATCCATGGTACAAGCCAGCGAGTTAATACATAATCACATAATAACCTCTGTAAAGAAGAATAAGCGATCGGAAAGGAAAAAATGAGTCGATGTGAACTCGTGTCGTGGCAATTTCCATTTCCCTTTTACACAGACTTGGGACCATTTAGACACGTTGGGCTATAAATATTAAGTTTAACCTGGTGGAATGAGTGTCTATATTAAGCGTTCAACGGTGATTTTCTTTTCTATAAAGATGCGATCTCTGCTGGAAGACAATCTCTGTCACCGGTCGTGAACACTGGCACGGTGGATTCCGAGACATGCTCCCGTGGCGCCCACCGATAAAGCACAAACAGATTCTTCACAAAGGTAATGCTTTTTCTATCCTTCAGAAATATCTTATAGCCGTCGAAACCGTTGCTTTTGACTTAAGAACTGTCCGCCAATAACTAAAAGTAGATCCGTATCTTTTCGAAAATTTCCCTTCAATTACCACCAGATACCGCGACATTTTTTGAAGCAGAAGCCTCTAAATGAAGTAATTTCTATTGCATGCATTACCGTAAAACATACAAGTTTCCCATCATTCCTAACTATGAAGTCTTTTCGCCTGTGTTCTAACGCTGAAAGCAATATGTCAACGTTTTCATCTTGAGCAGAAACGAGTTCGTTAATAACAAAATTTGTTCAATAATGCCGACCTTGACCTTTCACCGGTTTTGCCTTCTTCGGGGTCTGAAAGAATCACACTGACATGCAATTCACTCCGTTACTGAAGTGTTTGGCTAAGTAAGTTTCATTTCAATTTAATCTTCCCAGGCTCTGAAGAAGGCGAAACTGGCGAAACGTCAGCTATTGTGAGTGAACAAGCAGTGTAATAGCAATCTGTTGTCTTCTAGTAATGAAAACACTGAAATACTGAGCAATGCCATGGTCCTAGAAAGTCTATCCTGAAAGCTATAACTAATTTTAGGGGCCTAATATCCATGAACTGTTTGCATAACGCTTTGAAACACAGTGGCTTATTAAGAATGAGAAGTTTAGTGCGCTACTGAACACAGAGAACTGGCTACTTAAATAAACTCATGGACCGTTCAATTTCTTTTCCATCTTTACGATGTTGTCGTTGTTTAGTGACTGGTGCGGCACGCGCGGGGAGGCTGCTAGCGATCATGGGAAGCAGGTTTGCTGTTTTGAAGTTGAGGCTTTCTCTTCGGTAGTTTCGGAAATCAAACAACTTGCTTTAGCGGTGCTGGGAAAACGACACTTTTAAATGTGCTAACTTCGAGAAATCTGAGTGGATTATATGTGACAGGATCAGTAACTATAGATGGCCAAAGCATGAATAAATGGAAACTCAGAGAGGTCTTCACTAGAAATAATAGTTTCTAGTATTCAAAAGAAATGATTGGTATTGTTGTCACTTTAGCAAAATAAGTAGCGACTGTGACAGGTGGGCCGACCCGACGACCAATACCGTTCTGAGCAGTTTTTTATCAGTAACTATCTGGCAATTCGAGTTTAGAGTTAGGACTCAGCAATGTGTTGTATAAAATTTTAAGGAAGATTTCATCAAAATGTAGCAGGTGTTAAGGAGCTTTCCTTTAGATCCTTTAGATATCTGCCTTTGTACAGCAAGATGACATGTTCGTGGGCACGATAACAGTTCGAGAACATCTGCAATTCATGGTAAGTCTAAAGTGGTCTTCTGGCTATAAAGAAAAGTTTGCACTCCTGATTACGATTCCGTGATTTTTGCTTGGAATGGATAGACTGTAATACACACTAAGGAATAGATTACAATTCAGTCTTCTTACTTTCTAACCCCATCGAGTCACTGTATTCTATTTGTTCTTGAGGTGCACCAAAACCACTCGATGTGCTTTTGTTGTCTAAGAAGCACGAAGGAGACCATACTTCATCCATAATAACCATTATTTTTGTTAGTTTGGGAAAGAGTTAACTATTAGCTGTTCACTGTGGTCCACCGTTACACAGGCTTACTCCTAACCGGATGTCCGGGTGGAGAAGATGTTGCTCTCCGTCTCAATATGGGCGATCACGCTGAAGAGATGAACCCTCGTTCCACATTTCGAACCCTCAATAACACTCTCCCAGCAACGACGATGGTGTAAGCCAATGGTAGGAATTATCATAAGCTACAATATTTGAAAACTTGTGCGTCATTCAAATTCTTCTTAACATTGGAAATCCTCCACCGTCCGATGTCCCATATATCCCATGGAGAATTGAGGTCACTGAGAAACACTTGAAATCAAAGCTTTCGACTATTAATGGTTTCCTATTTATTTGAATTTAAAGAGTATTGGTATTTTTGTGTTTCGTTGTTTAATTCATCGACTAAAATCCATCTGTGTTATTTTGTCAGTCTAAAAACTCTTCACTATGAGTGAAGAATTCGAAAGGGATTTCTCTCTTCCATTTGTTCGACGCAGCTCCACAATATCTGAGCTGCAGATATGATTACGGTTCTAGATACACTGTTCACCACAGAGTTTTGCTTTCTCAGGCAAGGTTGCGAATGGGATCGGGATATACGACTGCTGAGCAGAACTTTCGAGTCGAGTACGTGATTCGAACGGTCTGTGGGCTTTCCTGTTACACGAGCAAACCAATCTGTGGATTCCGGGAGGAGTATGTGATTTCAGATGGGACTCATCGACTGTGCTGAAACACTAATTGGTATTCCCAATACAGCGAAAAGCCTCTCCTGTGGAGAAATGAAGCGACTCGCATTTGCGACTGAGGTCGTTACTTTGTCATAAAAGTGTGGTTGGAAAGAAAATGAACGGAAATAGTACACGTGGCAAAACAGATTTTTGAATCCATTTCTAGACTTCTCTCTTTAACTCGAGTCTCATGTAAAGGAACTTTCTAAAGTCGGACTTCGTTTTGCTTTTTCTCGTTTAAAATTGTATAGCTGAAGAAAGTGTTTTAGATCTTAACGCGCCCCCAGATCTTTTTCTGTGACGAACCGACCTCTGGGTTGGACGCATTTATGGCAGGTAAACCACAAAATAGGGCCACATTCGTTGTGAACTACAATCCCTTGGCCTCACTAAACGTCATTTAATTTTCATTTTCACTTATAACTTTTTATGGCCCTAATCGTTGTTCGTAGCGCGAAGGTAAAGGAGGTAAGTAAGGCTATATAGCGTAGAGAACTGTTAATTGATTAGTCGTGGTTGCACATCTGCTCATTTCTCGTTGATGGATCTGTTGCGATGTACGATTAACAAAAAATTCTGTAGTATATAGACGTTACCGTACAACGTTCAGCTTTGTGAGGAGCAGCGAGTACGATCCTAAAAGTAGAAAGTCCAGTGTTAGGGTACCTCGACGGTTCTGTATTCTGTAGTTCCCACATGAACCCGTAACATCGGGTTCTGATCTTCATTTTATGGATAGTTAAGTTTAGAAGATTTATTGTTTACACTGATATCATTTTCAGTAATAACAGTTATGTTGACACGGGCGCGTATAGCGCAGTGATCGGAGGCACCATGCAATATATATGATATATATATGAGATTGGTGCAAATGCCCAAGCCTAACCAGGCCTTCTATACCTTCGGGATCGGCAAATTGGTACCAGAATTGTCTGCAAGTATAGCAGCAATGGCTCGATGCATCGGTCGAAGTCATTATAAAGGCCATACATGCATTCAATCGCCTCCAGCGATACTTAATGAAGTCGAATGCACGGGGCATCCCTCAGAGATTGATTAATGCTGACAGCTTTATTCCCTTTTATTTCATTTTATTAATAGTTATGTCGACAATAGTCATGTAGGTTAAATTGTAATAGTAACGTTCATTTTTGTTTTAAGGACACGTCGTTGCCAGTCTTCGACGACTAGCCGACGATGGAATGACCGTCATAATCACAATTCATCAACCAAGCAGTCAAATCTATTCCTTCTTCAACGAGTGAGCTATTCGTTTTTTTCCTGTAAACCTATTCTGTTTGTGAACGTTGTAATTCTAACCTGGAACACTACTGTAACCGTAGCTCTTCCAGCATATGCCTCATGGCTTGCGGTCGCATTGTATACCTTGGACCGATTGATGGAGCTAATGCATTGTTTGAAAGGTTCCTTATTTTCTATTTTTTGTTTGATTCAAAATCATTAGAGAATTTTGCTCAAAGTTCTACTAATGGCAGAAGACTAGTATAGTTTCTCTTTCCTACTGCTGAATTTCAAGTTGTGGATATCCATGCCCTAACTATTTCAATCCGGTCGATCATTTCATCCGCACAATTTCCGTTGTTAATGGCCAACGAAACATTTGCCTCAGAACAATCTCGGTTAGTTATTCAGAAAATTCTTGTATTTTCTTCCTTGACATTGACTTCTGTTAATTCGTTCATTGTTATTATTGTTATTATTACTATTAACATTATCGTTATTATTATTGTTATTGCTCATGTAATACCCCGCCATTATAAAAGAATAGACAGTAAATAAAAAGTGACGACATTGCAATCCATACCACGGCTCCAGGCTAACTGGGTTCAATGCCGATTTGTGTTTTCCAGATCAACCCCGTTGACGGGTGATTGCTGATAGCACCTATAGATCAATAAAATGGCCGAGTGAAAGGCGAAACGAAGGGCTCCTATAATGTGGTGATGAACGGGTTAGTCTCTGGGAAGAGTGATAATGTGTGCAGTTCCCTCCGTAGACACCAGCGACTAGGAGTTTTGCGAATATACCAGCATTACTATTATTTCGAAGCTCATTCGAGAAGATGGATCACTGAGGAAGACCTGACTCGACACGAAGGCGAAGCTGCAACGTTGAGACAAATAACAAGCGTGGACCATTGACTCGGATCATCGGCTCTGAGGAAGACGAAGACGTCGAAACGTTAGCCGAAAATAAATGTCATTATCAACCTCGTGTAAGCTCATCAAAGAAAGAATACATGTTACTATTATTATTCTTGTCATCAAATTATTGTAATTATTATTAAATTATTGCAAAGTTCAAAAGATCTGCACACTATTGGATGAAGCAAGTTTTATTGAAATGTTCACATTTTGTGTTTGCAGACCATAAGACACGCATTTATGGAAAGTCCATATGGAAAGGAGCTGTTCAAAATCGTCGAAAGACAGGTTTTACATAAGCTGAATTTTCCATAAATAATGGTTCTCTCTAGACAAGCCTAGAGTAATTTTTCTGCCAGAAAAGAGATCTACATTTTTAAAATGACGTTGCGTTTTTTGTCGTTCTTATTAAGGAGGAAATACTACCGAAAATCGTGGAAAAGGAACGAACCTTCTGCAATATGAGGTGAGTTTCAAAGCAACATGTAATCATTGGAAGTGATATATGTTGGTGATAGGTTTGCATGCTATGTAGTAAGTTTCGCTGTCATGCAAAGTAATATTAAAGTAGTCGATGAACATCGCTTTAAACAACTAAGCCGATGGTTTGCAGTTATAAAGCCTCATTTTGGACCCAGCTAAGGGCGCTGACGTGGAGGTGCTGGCTAACGATGCTGAGGGATCCGATGGTGTTGAAGACGCGAATCGTACAAACTGTGGTTCGTGTTCGCAGCTGAATTTCTTCCATTGCTTCGATCTGAAAATTAAAACGACAATAATCTGTTGTCAAAGGTGCAACGAGGGGAATTATGGATGTATGAAATAAAACGGTCTATAGAATAGGAATCGAATCTTTCGTAACAGAGTAGATTCTGAAAGAAGCACTAATTTATCCGTTTTAGGCCTGCTCCAATCGAAAATTTAACGCGAATTCTCTTTGGTTACAGATCTGTGCGATTATCACAGGAGTTGTTTATTATGATACGGCCGTCACCTCGAACACGATCGTCTCTATAAATGGTTTTCTATTCAATCAAGTACGGAATCTGAACTTCATGCTTCAGTTTCCTGCTGTTCCGGTTGGTGCGGACTTTCCTTCAATTTTTTAGTGGATGTTTTCCTACAAATATTTGAAGTTCAGGCAATCACTACAGAGTTACCGATCGTGTTACGTGAGAACTCCAACGGAGTCTACACCTCGACTTCGTACTTTGTGGGGAGAAATCTGGCAGAAGTACGATTACGTGAAGCCATAAAGAAAAATTAGGAAAGCAAAAGTGCAATTTTATTCGGGGTTTTTGACCACACCGATATGATTCTTTAGACTAATCCAATGCGTTTTTAGTTGAAGCACATCATTAATATGGCTATAATTGAATTAAAGAATCTGTTCCGTAGATCGGCATGCCACGGTCGGTCAGAAAAACCGAAAATTAGAGTCAGTGGGTCTTCAACCACTTACAAGGACCCTATAGCTTTCTGAGTGACTTTTTGTGAATGCATGAAACCATTGTCATATGTAAGCGGCTTTCGACGAGCTTCGTAAAAGAGTGTAGAAAACGCTTCATTACGATGTCTTGGAACCATTCCTTTCCAGTCAATTAGTTGAAAAAGATTTCAGCCTATTTTTCACTGTTGATGGCAGTCAATAATAATTAGAGGTTATGTGATACTACTACTTAATGCATCATTCTGTAAAGATATCTGCGTGGGTCTCCAACTTTTGAACAATCGTTCCTATTGTTGTAAGTTGAACTCGTTCAGCTGCCACAATATGTCGTCTTGCCGGCCATCTATAACGCGATCGTCTACATCATGGCCGGTGATTTTTGCTAAAAACATTCCTTGGTCTGAATTAGATGAAATTTCTTCTTAAGGTCTTCTTCCAAGCTTCTGGACATTTTTCTGTGCGATGATCGTGTCTGTTCTGCTGACCAACGTTGCTACATCAATCTGTTAGTGCTAATGATCCGTTCAATTTTCTGGATAACAGTTTAAAATACCTCTAAAGAACTGCGTAAAAAACAATTCCTACTAATTTTTGCCAATTCACCACCCTATTCAACTTAAAATCAACAAAATACCTTCGGAACTCATGCGTTGTGGTCTTAGAGGTTAGAGGTGCTCTGCAATACACATATATTCCATTCCACATCCCAGGCCCCATCAAGCCTTCCGTCCAGGTGGGCCGGCAAATCGGTACTATACATCTCTGGAGAGTTGGCAGCAGTGACTTGATATATCATTAGGCCACCGCGAGCTATTTTATAGGCCAGATATACAACTAATCACCTCTAGAAGCCCTTGATGAGGAGACATGTAGCGTAGTGGTTGGATGCTCCCCGCAATACACATAATACACATCGGATCGATCACCGCGATAGGCTCACCAAACATTCTACTCCTCCGAAGTCGACAAATTGGTACAATGGCTCGACAGATCGGTAGGTCACGGCGAGTCATTGCAAAGGCCAGATATGCATTCAATCATCTCCAAACGATGCTTAAGAAAGTAGATTGCATGGTGCATATCTCAGAAACTGATGAACACCGAGAACTTTATGAGAGAGAGAGAGCTATGCTTGATGAACTCTAATGCACGGCGCATATCTCGAAGAATAATCACTGCCAAAAACATTATCCTTTTTTATGGCTTCGAATTTATTATTTTCGCAGTATTTCTATTTCTTTACAATCGTGTTAGCTTGTACTCGCCAGGTTGCGTCGCGCAAAATGGGATGATTGGAGGATAAACATGGGCCAAAGCGAATGAAGACTCCTCCTGCTACATAGAAGAATTAAGGATCTACACCTCCGATCCCGCCGGCGCAGAAAAGGCTTATGATGGTATCCAGTAACTGATGAGTAAATGGGTGGTGATGCAAAGAGGTCTCCAACCATAATGTCCTTTATGTGAATCAGGAGAGGTCGACAAGCAACTACTGACTGCACCTAGCTTGCATCCGCGAACTGATCTCGAAAGTACTAAAGAAAAGAGAATTATAGGAAGGTGCAATAATTACCTGATACCGAAAGTAAATGAGGCCGAGAAAGCTACGACGGATAACAAGTAGGAGGAAAACTACATTTGCGGAAGACCGTTATGGTTTTTTGCCAGAAAATGAAAAGCTTTTAGGACGAATTTTCAGTTATATGTGCCGGGATATCGCAGGACCAGAAACTTATGCTATTCATTTGGCAATAAACCAGTTCAATACGTTGAATCTACCTGGTATTTTTCATTTATCCGATGTCGGATGGCTTCGTAGCCAATCAGAACAATTCCGTCCAAGATGCTAAGATTTATGAAGAAAAATTGAACATTTATAACACTTCCTGAAGAAGGGAATGCCGGTCTTCATATTCCAATATATATTATTCGATTAGTACTAGAATGCCATCTCAACCTTTAAGCAAAGGTTAATTTCGGCTCCAACGATGAGAAGTAGATTTACATACATTCTTTCGAACTGCTCTTGCTGAGCTAAAGCGAGATTGATGCCAGCTGTTGTATTTGTGACTCGCTGGCTGATGTTTCGGTGACCACGCCTTACTCAAACCCGTTCTGTTAGGTGTATGATAAGAAGTGTTGCCATAAGTCAAATGCTACATTGCGGCTTTTAATGCTTGCTTTATTACCAGTATAATCAAAAAACATCAAGAGCAAAGAATATGCGAATATTTGGTTTACCAGAGCGACTGTCCGGCAGAAAGGCGTCCTACGGTTTTCTTAAGATGGATATTAATTATGAATTTGGGAAACCATGCACCATTGATCCGTCCGAGTACATTAATTTTTATTATGGAAACCATACATCCAAGCTTACATCTCTTCCGTTTTATTTACTACCTACTCTTTTTGATGGCAGGGTATATTGCGAAATATAACTTTAATGATGCTGAGATATTTGCAAAACTCCGGACCGCAGGTGTCTGCGGTGGGGAATGAACGCGCTATTGTCTTTTCCGAGGAATAACGCGTTCACCACACTGTGCGGATCATTCGTTTTGCCTGTCTCTCAGCTAGTTCTATCGATTTCTGCCATCAGCAATCACCCATCAGCGGGATTGACCTGGGGAGCCCAAGTCGGTAATGAACACAGTTAAGCTAAGGCTTTACTTATAATCAATCTTAACCGCTTTATTTAAAAAGATTTTAAAAGAGTAGGCAGTAAATAAAAGCGAATGTAAAGCGATTGCGAATACAAACGATTGTAAAGCGTACGGGGACGAATACGTTGGCGAAACGGATAGACCACTCGGCGTACGTATAAAAGGACATCTAGTCGGCAAACGTAAACGAAAGGCTCCACCAGGCACGCATAGGACGCAGAGACATAACGGAGAAGATTTTGAAGTAGGGGTTACGATCCTCGCGCAAGAATCGAGAACGCAAGCGCAAAACTCTAGAAGGATTCTAGATTAATTCCAAGAATCCGAAAATGGACCTCAAGGAGGAATACCTCTTTATCATGCGTGATATTGGGCAGTATATAAGCCTGTTATTTTGATGGGGTGGGCACAATACGATTCCGTGTGAACTCTGGGCGGTTGGTCCTCACGTAACATATTTAGTGGAAGTCTCGTAGAGAGCGGTGAGTATGCGGAGCTGTGTTAAATTTGATTTAAGTCTTAGTTTAGCGTTTTCTCTGTTTGGTTATGGAGGTGTTTGGCCGAATAGATTGCTATCAACTTGACCTTTCCAGGCTCTGAAGAAGGCGAAATCCGCCGAAACGTCAGCTTGTGCGTAAATAAAGAAATAAAGTAACACCTCGTGTTTGCTGAACAGAAGTGGAAAGAATTGTTCAATCAATGCCGAGGTTAATAGAAAGTCGGACGTGGCAGTTATTAAGAGAAGTTCCAGCAAAAACATTTCCGCCTTGTAAGAGACGTATTGTCATTAAGACAGAAAACAAGTCCCCACATATAAAGACATCTTTCGTCGACCATTTCGCTTCAAAATTAATTGGTTCACTTCTGTTCGCTTCTCGCCGTCAGCATCGAAATGCACTTTTTCTTCTAAATCTTGATTCATTGATGAAACAAACAACGATAGTGAACAATCAACATCTCCGAATGTTTTTCCAAATAACCCAAAAGTGCTCACACCTCATAAATTTGTGGCTGGACTTTTGGTGTTCCATGCGAATTCTGTGAACTAAAAAAGCGCGGTATTTAGTCCTTTTCTCGGCGTCTTTTGTGATAGTGTTTTTGACCACTGCTTCACTAAAATTTCATAAAACGAAATATTTTATATCACTACCATGTCCGTCCTACTTTGTGAGATTTGAGATTATAATCAATTATTTTGTTTACCGAAGGAATTCCTCTTCGATGGTAATTCAGCGTATGCAACAGCTACGACTTTCGGAACGACTACGGTAGCGACGACGGTCCTTCCAATTTTCGTGATTCCAATGATGGCGTTCGGTGGATTCTTCATAACCTATGAGTCCATCCCCAAATACTTCACTTGGCTATCGGCTCTTTCTTATTTCAAGTGCGTCAGCACTATAAGAAATTTATCTTTGTCTGAAAGCCAGTTCCTTTCAAAAGGATTCAAGTGCCCTTTTAAATTAGAATAGAATCTGATTTCAGGTACGCTTATGAGGGGCTAGCTATAAACCAGTGGGAGACCGTTGACGTCATTCCAGGTGAATGAATCCTCCTATGCTTCTTTAAATTCTTCACCAACATCAAACATTAATAAGAAGACACCTTTTGAACTCACGAATTCCTCGAAAAGCGATTTTTTTCACCTCTGATGCTACTGCGAATGTATTGACAAAAATAATGAACCACGTTAACGTTTTAGTAAGTCTTATCAAACCAGTGTTACCAAAACATTTTATCCTATTATTGTTGTCTTTTAAAAGAACAAGGTCACCAGTCGAAAGCTAACGAATACTGTAAAAGATGTTTGAAGAGAACTTGAGAAGGGTATTTTTAATCCACTTGTCTATCAAATTCTTACGACTTAGCTACATTCTCCTCTAAAGCACAAGAAATCCGTCCAACGATAAATAGCTCGGGATTTGAATGATTCTGCATGAAAGACACCATCACTTTTACTTCCAGGATGCTTGAATCATACAGCAAAGTATTTCGATTGCCCTAAATCTGGATCGGAAGTACTAGAATCGGTACGTTGACATGTTGTTCCTCCACCGTCCTATAAGATCATGTCACAGCACGGAGATTTGGGTGTAGTAGTACCGCTACCGTCCATTGTAACTTGTCAAGATGTCAAAATTTTCCTCTTTCTTCAAAATCGCCTCAAGACTCTTTTATTACTTCTCACTATTTCTTCTTTATTGCTTTCACCATTAGTGTTAATTGCTAATTGGCAATACGTGTAATCACTTTTCCACCATTTGTCACCGCCAAATTGTAACTGCGCAATGATATTGGGGGTACGTTCAACTAGGATTCGAAGCGCATTTAACCAATCACCACTGTTTCGCAAGCTATAAAATAAGTCGAAATTTCCGTCTGCGAAACCAGCTATCAAGGAGCACAACAGAGTGGACAATTACATATTAGCTGGAAAGTGTAGACTATCTGGAAGGCCCTAGCACGGCATTCGAGATTCTGGGAAGTGATCACACGTTCGTTCGTCGTTCAGAAAACGAGCATTTGGTTACTATGGACAACATTAGTATCCATTCAAATTTATGAGTGGAAAGTGGCAGTAAAAGCCTTATATTAGCTTTTTTTTATTTTTACGCTACCCGTCCTTCATATCTAGTTTACGGATCCCAGCACTTCCATTTTATTCATTCGTTAACTGGCATCTATGATTCACAAAGGTGATCGAACTTTTTTGTATGTGTTCAGCCACTGCTTGCAGATTACCGCCTTCCTCCTTATGAATACCCCTGAATGCTTACCAAGTCGATTCTTCCCGGAGTCTCGAAATAGAAGTGCCAGAGCGCTGGATTGCAAAAAGTGGACTTTTCCCAGACAAGTCAGGTACTAATTTCCCGACCTCGGAGTGATCAAAGGCTTGCGGAGCTCCGGCCAGAATCGAACTAACACCATGCCCGTGATGATCGGCATTACCTCCACTGCTCTACTCTCTTTCTTTACAAATTTTATCTTGATTTATATATGGTTGATTTTAGATCGACTTCGTTGGAATCAGCAAGTGGACGGACATTATCATATTGTCCATAATGATCGTCGTAATCCGCCTCATATCCTACATCGCTCTCGTTGTCCGTGCATTCTACAATCGTTGAATGTTAGTTAAGATTCTTGACAGAATAGTTTTGGCTTTGGTGAAAACAATGCGCTATGCAAGGATCACGAATGCGAAGTGCTTCGTTGCTATAAAATCAGCGGAGCAATTAAGGACTAAAACGATTAGATCACAGTCTTTCTTTGCACTTTCGTCTACTTAGTTATGCCCTTTAGTATTGTAAACCATAATAACTTGTGTTAATTACTTAATCATGGTAAAATTACTAGCTCTGTGTTTTCCAGTCACACTGAAGTCCATAAGAAAACGCGAGAGATGCTGATAATGCAAAACTCATCGGCTGAATTAATCAAGGGAAAATGCATGAAATGAATAGAAGTTTCGACAAAAAAACTTGGTGGTACTTTACGAAGAGGAAATAATTTAATGGTTTATGAGCTGCGAACCATTTCCACTTCGAATGCACTAAAAAAGAATAGGGAAGGGAAAAGAAAAAGTTTGACTACGTCGTCGCTACGCTGGGCATTTGATGGCAGTCCATCACACGACAAGGCCATGTTACCTGCGTGAACGGCATTCTTCTGAAGTCCGGATTTCGTTAGATATGTGAAATCTGCAACGTGAGAACGTCGAAGGTTACCAAATCTTATAAAAGTAGATGATAACTATTTCGAAAAATTCCTGAATTACTGGGCTGAGACGAGGTTGATGTAAAAATATATTCGCCTAATGCTTTTGCGTTTTTTTTTAGAAAAATTGATTTTGAATACAGAGCAATAACAGCTCGACTATGCTTTAGTGATGATTGAAGAATGGATATTATGAAGCCGAGGCTAAACGAGAAGAGAAGGCTACGGTTTTCAAATATTTCCATTCCTCCCACACAACACGCAGTGAGTAAAGAGTGTTGTAGAAGGTAAAAAAAATCTACGAAGACGTTCCCAATCAACACCTGCATCGGATGTAGTCGCATGTCGTTTTACTCTGTACAGCAGTTTCAAAAGTCATCTCTGCGACTCTGGCATTAGAGAAATGAAAGAAAATATGAATATATGAATCCGGGTAATATTTCACTTCTTCTTCAACATGATTTTGGCTTTCTTACAGACTGAATACATATTACAGTCTTAGTTGCGAACCTCCTAGAACACTGTAATAACAAAAGCTCAGAAGCTAGAAAATAATCGCGGAAACGTCAGCTATGGACCAACAACACCAACAACAACGACAACAACAAGACAACGACAACGAAGCCCTATACCAACCTCGCAGTGGCTAAACGAGATCAGTTTATAAGATCATATAAATAAATAATTCAGCAATGAGTTCGATAGCCACGTCTACCTGCATACGAGATCCCATAACGAGGAGGTATGTAAGAGATGACGTCCGATTTTCTCAGAAAATCGAACCTTTGTCGCAATGAATCTTCTTGGTAGGATACTTCACCAGCAATTCATGGAAAAAAACAAGTAACTATAGACTGCGTTACAGCAGATTTTGTGCGGACGTATTCGACAAATACATTCAGTCCAAGGATAGTCCGTCTTGGGAATACTGCCACAGTGATGTTTGAGCTACTTATCGTATAGAAGCACGAAGATCCCACTTTGAAACCTCAGCCTCATAGCACTCTCCACGTGCTTCGCACTGAATTCTAGTGTCTGTTTCAAGCTCTAACCATTCTACCGCCTGACTCCATTTTCCTATCTTCATGTTATGTAATAGTTGTGACTTCAAGTCGTTCTTGGGCACCGAATAACTACTAACTTGAAATAGAATGCTCGACGTTGTACGAGTTTGTCACGCGAGACTTTTTCTGTTCAGACAACAGTATCAAGCTCTAGTTATAAGTGCTTATAACAGTAATAATAATACAATATTAACAATCAAACAAGACCCAGAAGGGTAAGTAATACTGCTTGAGGGAACTAAGTGAGTTTCAGCGAAACCTAGCAAAAGTCAATGAAGTCAGAGAAATATTCTTGGATGTTTCTCAGTTAGCACAATTTGATATAGCTGCTTGCACAGAAGGTTCGTGAAGAATATACACTTATACAGAACGTACATGTGAAATCGCTGGAGTAGCTTGAACTATGTGAATGCTGCACAAAGGCTTGTAAAGAAAGTACATGTGAAAGTGACGGAGTATCTTGTACGAAGGCTTATACAAAATGTGCATACGGAAATGGTACAAATGCTTGCACAGAGTGTTTAAATGAAAGTGGTACGATGGGTACAAGGCAATGATAAATGTAGCTATCAGTGAGCAGAGTTAATATGGGAAGCACAAAATAATGTAAAGAATTGAGACTATCTAGGGAATAGTTACTGTAGTTATATAAGGAGTAATTAATAGTCATTACTATAGTTAATCCAACAGTTGCACGTGGCAGGAAGATCTGAAAGTCCTGTAATTCCAACAGCAGCTGAGTAACAATATATAGAAAATCTGTGGTGATCTCCACTATGCGGCAAATATGCGACAACTTGCCACCTGTATAGCGGTGACATGCCCTGAGAGTTATCGGGTGACTGGAGTGTCGTACTGCCGTCTTCGTTAGAGTTTATGAATTCTCTTGAAAGGTACTTTACCACTTCAATCTGAAATAACGCAATATAAACTTCAACGACAATGTGAGGTAAACCATGCCTTCTTATTAATCAGCAAGAAACAACATAGGCTCACCTTCCCAACATCACCAGTAATGCGCAAATGTCCTGTGATTTTGAATATCACCTGTGCTGGAACCAACTTGCCCCTAAATAACGCCTCGCCTGCCATGCGGGCAACGCTGGTTCGATTCCTTGCCAGTGTACCAAAAAATGTGCCGATTTGGCCAATGCATCAAAGCTGTGATGGCTTCATCGGTGAATATATACGTTTTGGCTGTTGAGTTGTGTATTGTTGCATTGATTGAGTGTTGAGTGGATAAGCTGTATGGTTAATTTATTCACAATCATAGAGAGGAAGAATATGATGCGACCTGGGTTCGGATTCAGCCAATCTTTGCATTTAGTAGAACTTTAATATTCTGCTGACAGCAAGAATAAACTCCAGCGCATTCTTACTGAACAGATTTATGGATCTCCAAAACAACTGGTGCACTAATGTCTAGTGATTTAACTGATAAAGGCAATTTTCTTCTGTATTTCCAGGAGACGAGGAAATCCTTAATGGATGCTTGGATATTACTGTAACAAAGATCGAACTTCAGCATTTTTAGATTCATTCCGACCGCAGCATCACTGTGGAAATTTACAGCGCTTGTCTTGCACATTCGAATTTCGTTTTGTGAGAATTCGAAGTGTGAGAATTGTCAGTTTTGGAAGGATTGTCACTTGACGATCAACGGGAGTCTTGGTGATACAGTGATTACCAGGAGCTGTGCTATTCTCACTTCCACCTCGCAAATAACAATAACAAATTTAGTGCCGGAACAGACATTTTGTTCGCAATGGTACGTAAATCTGCCGTGCTTGTGATGAGACTTCTAACAATCTCTTTACAGTCTTCGGTTTCTGCCACATAAAGTGACGGAAAGATGCAGTTAATAAACTCTCCGCGCTTTATTTATTGATTGGACAACTGCTCGATTGGAACTTGTTCCATGAAACTGTGAGCCACAATTATATGATATATATATATATATATATATATATATATATATATATAATGACAACAGTTTTTTCTTGCCTTGATTCCATCCACAAAAGTTGGGTTTCACAACAGTCACAACTATGCAAACTATTGATTACAGTGCCGATTTAGCTTTCACCAACGATGTAGTGCTTCTTTCTCTCTCCCGCTCCATGTCTAAACGCCTGGCTCTGCTTCTCGTCATGGAACCCGTATATTGGTCAGAATGTGATATATAGGACTCCCTCATTCATTTTCTTTTGGGGATATCTGCTCTTGTTCCAAAATGGTTTGACTGGACGAAACCTTGG